TATAACCGATGTAAAATACCCCCTCAAATCGATCCTGGTGAGTGAACGGTAATAGTGAGTAGGAGTGATGGTCGCGTTGGACTTTTGTACATACATTCTGACGTGATCTGTCAGTTTTAATTGAATAAAACGTTTTAGTTTTAAATATCGAAAATGGGAGTAGAGCCTGTATCTACAGCCAAACGTACCCTCTTGATATGGTAGTAGATTACGCTTTACTAATGAGGGAACAGCTAGCCTTTTACTTCTGCAAGCAAGTAATCGTCAGCGAAGCCAATCCTATCGCGTATAAAACCATCGTTGATCCCGGTACTTGTACAGAAAGATGTATTCGATGCCATGTTTAGAAACTTGATAGGATGTCTTTCTGGTTACATAAGCCACAGTGTTAGAATCTTGTTGATATAAATAAAGCGGTTATTCTGAGTCAAAACTTCTGACGTGCCGGGATGAGGCTTTGGCTCATCTAGCATAGTTAAACTACGTGAGCGTCACTGCACAAAAATACTTGGATTTCTGTGAGGTTACTAGGAGGGTACTCGACGAGGGTACTAGTCTGATAGAGTGTATTATTTGGGAATTTCCGTTGGTCAGAAGGACTATTCCCAAATACATAAGGGTTAGGGTTACGAAGGTGTCTGATCACATCCAAAATGAGTCGTATTTAATGGAGATGATCCAATATTTGCCTTATCATTTAACCTTTAAGTGCTGGCAGAACTATAATCACTTCACAATTATAAACTCTCTAATCGAATGTATTGGTGCAGAATGCTAGCCTATGACCAGCTCATCATAGCTTTCGAGGTTACTGACGCAAAGATAGCTAACAAGGCAGTCAATACATAGGTAAACTAAATATACAAGACAACATTGTACAAGCTCATCTTGGCTGATTGTACTGTAAAGAAACTAATTTCATGGGGATCACCAGATTTGTCTTTGTTGCCTCAACTGCCTCTCCAAGTCTGTGTTCCTCATTTGCAATTATAAGCTACTTCCCTACACATACCTGCGGCTTCTCTAGCGACAGTGGTATTGCCCCCGCGATCGAACCCACGACAGAGCAACTTACGCAAAATATATACTAGGAATAGACGTCGAGTTAAAATAAAACACCTTATTACATATAGATCCTTGTACTTTATGGACTATAATAGCCTATGCAGAACGCTGTGAAATGCCCTCTCAGAATACGGCAATCTTCGCTTTCCGCGACTTACTGTACCAGGTACTACAGGTACAATGTTTGGGGCATCAGGTACAAAAAAAAACGATGGTCCAGCGTACAAGTCGGAAATCTGTACAATTATAATCGATTATTCCATGTTATCACGAAATATTAATCATACACGATTCCTTTTGTCCCATTGAATAGCCCCGCTTCCTGCTCTAGATTAAATATTAGACTTACTGGAGCATCAGTAGTTATTTTCAATTACTTCCTCACGACGCGGTCTCGGTCAGGCTTAACCGTTTCTGCATATTCAAGTAGGGCTTCTGTAGTGGCCTGGGACTCATCGCGTTGCTTAGCTAGTCTCTTCAGCTCAATCGGAATGCTTCGAACGGATACCAACAATCGGATTAGATGCATTTTGGTTGGCTGTGTATACCTACTTCCGCAACATCTGCACCCAAATAAGCGATATGCTTAGCTCGACCATGTAAGCATTCCACTTCCGCGACAGAATCGTATTTTGAACAAATTGACATCATCTTGAATTTGGCTTTCGAAGACGCTGCAACGCATCGAAGCACCCCGTATATAACACGCCTCTATTCTGACTGGTTTGTTT